AAGGAAGGAAGGAAGGAAGGAAGGAAGGAAGGAAGGAAGGAAGGAAGGAATTTACTTTACTGCTTACAAGCAAGAACTGCAGAAAACAACTGCAGTAAAGATGGGAATACTGGGTTAAGGGGAAACAATATGTTCACCATTTGCTTAAGAAAACTAATAGGAATTTTTTTGGCTTTTTCAGATTATTTTGTTTTTTTACCAGATCCCTAACTAGAGACATGTGCAGCAGACATCAATGAAAAGTCAAAAACATGATGCCTCTGGGCAGTTTTAAAATAAGGATTTTTTTAAAATTATTATTTTAGTAGCAAGCAAGACTGTACTCGGCTCACATACAGTCACACCAAAGTTTTCAAGTGATCTGATTTCAATCAGGGATTTCAAATTTCAAAAATAATAGCTGTTTTTGTTATTAAATTAGAAATGAGCACTCAAAATCATTTGATTCTTCTAACTTATTCACTCCAATCCCTAGTGAGCCAGCTTTGTTATTCCCCAGCTACAATGGAAATCCATGCAAAATGCAATGGAAGATTTCCTTGGTCACATCTAAAATTATCTACACCAGCTTGCACTGCTAATATTGCTGTAATGAACTCATCATTCATTTATAAACCAGAACAAGGTACTTCATACAACAAGAAAAGACCCATCCAGCTAATTTCTGTTCCAATGATTTATCTCTCATAAATAGAATAAAAACCAATTACTCTATGCAAGGCCCATGACACACACACCATGATGGCATTCTGAAGTATACTTAATGGTTTAGAACTTCAAACGGATACAACCATTTATGGTAAAGGTCCATTACAGGTCAGATGTACATCAAATTAAGAATACACTTAAGAACGTCAGATGTACTTGTCATTCTGAAATCAAAATGACAAACTCTTTTTTAAAAAAAACTCAATGCAGTAATGCAATAAAATCAATAAAAAGAAACTGAATGTGGATCTAAAGATAACTGGTTTTTTTATTATTATTACAGCTAGAAGCTCATTTCTCCGTACTCCATCCAGAAACATCAACAAGATACCGGAAAGCTTTTTTAAAGGGAAAGAAAACATACAAATGGATACACAGACACACCAACACAGTAGAGAACCAAGGAGATAGCTTGGAAGGGAATATTCAGAGGCTATAACAAGAACAACAAGGGCTGAGATATTCTGTCAGGTCTGGAAACGTAAATAGCATTAGGAAGAGATTTAGGCTTCTTCCTTGCTTGATTAAAAGGAGATATGGTAAAATATAAGCAGACTTACAATATCCTGTAACTAGTTCATTAAAGTAAACTTCTTATCTTCTTGTGGATTTGGTTTCCTGACATTTAAAGTCTTCTAGCTATCTGGAAATACTTGCTCCTCATTCTTAAAAAAGGCAAATTAAAAACTGGATTAAATGTAACAGGACTTGGTATTGGCTGTTACTTTTTGCTGCTGTTGAACCCACATAAATTTCAGCACCAGCCACCAAGTAATCATGATATAATTTTCATCAAGTCCCAAATAAAATCAATGTTAAATCCACCAGTGTTAATACCCTTGTATTTTTTTAAATGGAGAAACAAAGAATCAAACCAAAAAAACATAGGCTAACTCTAACTCTCTGGGACTCAAAGGAAATTTCACAGAAGTAAAACATATGCAAACACACACACACACACACACACACAACCCCCCCCCTTACATGCAGACACACAAACACACACACACACATACAAATGTATAGTACACATCAGGTGAGCCATATAGCAGCTGCATCTTCTGCAAAGCTTAACAGATCTCCTTTGAAGACTTTCTCAACTGGGTACATGTATACACCCAAAAAATTCCACTGCAACTACTAGTGAGGGCACTATGGATTTACACATCACACATGACCTACTGTACAGAGATGTGAAGTCTGAATCAAGATTTCCTAAAAGAAGGATATATCACTTGTGCCACACACTTTCCTGAATGTCTCTTTTAAACATTTTACACACTCTTCCTATCATATGCCATAATCTAAGAAAACTGAATCTAAGAAACTGTACACCGAAAGAAATCAAACTGGCCTAAAATGTGACTGCAAACACACTCTGCTTTATCTGCATCTCTTCACCTTTACTTTAATGAAAGCACCTTCCTTTACCTGTCTCTCTTAGTATTGGATAGCTAAAACTGCCCACCTTGGCAGTTGGGGGAAAAAATAATGTACCAACAGCATGAGATTCCTTTAAGTACTTAAAATAATGGTGGGTTGTTTTTTGTTTTTGCCAGACCATCAACTTAAATTCACCATTCAGCAAAGTTGCAACTTCCAATCTAAGCGCTGACCCTGGGAATTACCTTCTGAAAACAGTGTGATCACCGCAGAAATTTTCCTGCAATTCTACCTGCAAAATTTATTAACCAAAAAATATTAAGTTAACCAGTAGAGTAAATCAAGGTGGCTTCTTCTAGGCAATCCCTCTGAAAAAGTATCTTCTGCTGTCCAAAATACCCTGGAATTATAATACATTTTTAGACTAATACATGGTTTATAGTAATATACAGAAAGACTACAGCCTTCCTTTCATGCTTGAATTGGAAGTAAATACCGATGCTTGTTTTTACCAGAACTCTGTAAAATGTTTTGCAAAGTCACAAATAAAAATACATATTATCAACTAGAAAATGCATGGAGGGAGGTTACTTCAAACAAATCAGCTAAATTGTCGTTAGTGCAAAATTTATGTCGGCCACACACCATCTGATTGTTAGTGTTTGCCAAAAAAAGAAAAGCCACACATAGGCAGCAACTGGGTCAAAAGAAAAAAAAAGTGCATCAACTTTCAACTGCGCTAGAAAAATAATGCAAAAATGTTTTTGGTGACATGGCCAAGATCTTGTCAGCTTTTAATTTAAAAGGCTGCAGGAAATAGTACACAAAAATTATACTTCATAAACTCTGAAACTGTAGATATGCTAAGGTCACTTGGCACAGCAACTAATTAAATTAAATTAGACTCTTTAGTGATTCGCTTCTACCTACAGCAAACACTTATGCAAAGTTTATGTTGGATAGATATAGCACGGCTAACCATTCAGCCTAACTGGGGAAGATCGCTTGCTGAAAAGCACCAAATTAGTTTTTAATTGAAGAAAAATTTCTTCCTAATATTGCTGAAATCTGTGCCAATAAATGATAGCTCAACTCCTCCAGGTTGGACTTCAACGTCCAGATCCAAACTATTTAATATTTCAAGTTAGTGAGGTTATTATTATTTTTTAATCAACTGGTGAGGGGGAAGAGAAAAGGAAATCTTCTACCAATAATCTGAGGTCTAAGAGGCTAAAACATAGTTTCTCCCCATCTTAAACCCTTAGCCGCAGCCTGTGAGATGGATTAGGACTAGATTAAAGTAGACTAGACTAGATGAGTTGGAGGTCTTCTAGTCCAACCCCCTGCTCAAGCAGGAAACCCTATGCATTCCAGACAAATGGTGGTCAAATCTCTTCTTAAAAACCTCAAGTGTTGGAACACTCACAATTTCTGAGAGGCATTTTGTTCCACTGATTAATTGTTTTAATTGTCAGGAAATTCCTACTTAGTTCTAGGTTGGTTCTCTCCTTGGTTAGTTTCCCTCTGTTGCCTCTTGTCCTGCCTTCAGGTGGTTTGAAGAATATCTTGACACACACACCCCTCTTCTTTGTGGCAGCCCCTCAAATATTGGAAGACTGCTATCTTGTCACCCACTGGTTGTTCTCTTCATTAGACTAAACATTCCCAGTTTCAAGAAAGAAATAGGAAAACCACAAAAGCTGGAAGAAAACAGAGCTTAACAACATAGCGCAAAATAATAAGCATTCTTCAGTTGATCTAGGGATTTGGAAAGAATTTCTAAAAGCAAGAGCATTAAAAGACAAATGCAAGGCAGTGAACATAGGAAGTGTGGATCGGAAAATAAGGAAATAATCATTACTTCAAGAGAACCACAGAGGCAGATGGATGTTGTACTTCAGACACGCAAGAAAGAAGATATACAAGCTGAGAGAGAGGGGGGGGGGGGGGAGAGAGTCATGGTTGACATGTTTGATCCTAGAAATCTAAGACCACTTTATCTTTCTCATCTATGGCTTTAATTTTATTATTAGTTGAATTATTTATTAATATATTACATTTAAAGAGCTGCCCATTTCAAAGAATGTGATTCTGGGCCGCATGTAGCAAAAATGCATCATTAAAAAACCTAACAATTTAAAAAAGCATTCCACAATTTAAAACCCTGAGATTTATGGAAGTATCTTATTGCTTAAGATGTTATAGTAACTGCCAAGGGTTGTAAAAGTAGCCACGATGTAAACTTCATGAGAAATACCTCATGAAAAGTATGCTCTCCATTCGACCAATTGATGAAGATTAATTGGTGGGATAACATTTGCCCACTAGGTATGAAATTCTGTTATCTCACCTAACAAAACTTTAAAACATTGCTTAGAGCAGCAATAATAAAATGCTACAAACACAGCAGAAACATTTACACATTGCTTGTAAAAAAAACGAACTCCCCATCCAACTTCCCCTGCAAGAAAAAAAACTGAATCTATAGATATGTCTGTACAGAAACTTGAAAAGTAAAGGTGAGATCAGCAACCTGACTGAAATGTTATGGTTTTGAAGTAATTTTTAGTCTAGGAATACAGAATGTTCTATTCTTAATTAGCAAAGGCTCTTAGGTTTATCACTAGATCTCTAGAGCAGATGCAAGAGACTAATCTAAGATCCTATTATGCAAACCATAACCTTGTTATGTTTTGATGCAACTGTGTGGTATTTTCCTCACTGATCAATCCAACAGCTCAACTGAAACCTTATTGCTAAAGTTAAAAAAAGTCAAGTCTCCTTTCAACCAAGCTTGATTCATGTTGATTTTATAGATGCATTTATGTAGTTGTCTTGGTATTAGGCCAGGAGGGGTTTCTTAATGCTTTTTTTTTTCAGCCAAGTTCATTTTTACTTCCCTAGTCTACCCTACAACTTCGTATTCACTTGGCTTTAGAAATCCACAAGGTGTCACTACAGCTCCACATTAACTAGTCAGAAGTAAATCGCACTGACAGTGCAGAATCATGCATCTTGTTCTATAGAAGGTCCCATCCCTTTAGACTTAGATAATGGGAACTCATTAGTGGGGGACAATAGGTACTAATGAGCATTTTGGTATTCTAAACACCTGGAAAGTTACCCATCTGACAAAGTGGACACTAAAACCAATTCTACCTGGAATAATATACACCGGAAAGTTTAATAGCACGGATTCTGATTTATCAAGCACATCTCCCTCAGAAATGTCTTCTATCAGCCAAACTGACTATGATGGATATCTGCCTTAAACTGAACTGCACGAACACTGGGTGCTGTCCTTTGACAATCTTAAATGAAAATCAAATATTGGGGGAGCGGGGAGAGAGAGACTTTCACACAGATCAGTTTATGAAGTTTCAAAAGCTTCCAGTTCAAAAGGTTTAACTTCACCAGGCAGGCTCCAAAAAGATTTAGCTATACCAATCTTAATGTCCAATATTACTAGCTGTTTTGGGATATCGATTTTGATGAGATCCACAAGCAATTTATTTATTTGTATCCCACCTTTATTATTTTTACAAATAATTCAAGGTGACAAACATCCAACACATCTTCCTTTAAGCTTCTTGGATGAGAAGCAAAATGTCTTCAAAGAAAAAACAGCAAGTCCAGTTGCCTCTTTAAAAAATCACCTTTGGGACAACTATAACTTGCATGACTGAGAATCTCCATAGACCCTGTGAGTTGAATTGGGCTGATAGGGAATGACCACCTCAAGGTCACCCAGTTAGTTTCATGTTTAAGAAGGCACTAGAACTCACATCTGCTTTCAAACCTGGTGCCTTAATCCAGGGGTCCCCGGACCGGTACCGGTCCGTGGAACAATTTCTACCGGGCCGCCGGTTTGCTGGGCGCCGCCATCTTGTTTTGATGAAAAAGTGCTTCTGGTGAGCTTTTCCGGGTAGAAAGCGGTGTTTGGGTGCTGAAAGAATCCTCGCGCCTTAGTTTCATCGGGGGGGGGGGCGGCTTCGAACAAAACTAAGGCGCGAGGATTCTTTCAGCACCCAAGGCAAGGCGAGCCAAGTGACCGTCCCGAAGCCGTCGCGAAGCCCATCGACACAGGTACAAAGGAGGAGTTGAAGGTGGCGGGGAGAACCGGGGGACGGCTGGCTGGCCGGTCACTCGGCTCGCCTTGCCATGCGTGCTGATGCCGGTACCGGGCCGTGGATGATTTTGTGATGCCGGTACCGGGCCGCGGATGATTTTGTGATGCCGGTACCGGGCCGCGGCACAAAAAAGGTTGGGGGTCACTCCCTTAACCCCTTGACCAAACTGCTAGATCTTTCAACCTCTACTCTCATTTTCTACTCTAATGTACAGAACAGATGCAAATAGACTTGGCAAGGGAAGATCAACATTGCCTCCCTCAAACATAATGACCTACATTTAGCTGTTGGAATTGAACAAAACTATTGGAAAATATTGGACTAGAACTTGTTAAAGTAGACTGGTAAGGAAAGACAGTATATTCAGCAGTCTGTGTTTTTAGTGTGTGTTATTCAAGTCTTCAGTCTTTTTCGTATTTGATTTCTGGTCTAGAGGTTTTATAGTTATTATTCTAGTCTTTAATAATCAGCATGTAAAATAGAGATACTCAGAACAAATATTAGTTTAGCCCTTAATAGTGTCTACATAATTTGTGTATAAATATATACACAAATTAAGTAATCTGCATATAAAATGAAAATTAGAAAAATACATAACCAGAAATCTAATCATCATAATATTTGCTGGTTATGTAACATAATCGGTTTCCTCTTTTTTAAGAAAAGCTTTTTCCTCCAATTTTGTCTCATATTTAAAGTTCAGTAATGCTCAAGGCTCAGTTCACATCTCATCTGATATACTACCTCCTGAGTTAAAGACACTACATAGTTATTAGGATGCTGTTGAGGGTTAGTGACCCTGCTTCAGAGTCTTAGTGTATTTTCCAAGGTAAAAAAAGGTGGCATTTCCAAAATCTAGGTAACATAACAGGGCCATCTAGTGGCAAAGCAATTCACGTGGGCAGGTATATTATGTTAATTTTCCTGTGTTCTCTTGCTTTCTTTGTTTGAAAAAAAGAAGGGATGGCAATTGTAAAACTCTTTGTTCCTTTTTTTAAATACAACAACTTAAAACTATTTGATGCAACCTGACAATCAGCTTTTTAAGAACTCTAGACAATAGAAATGTTCCAAACAGTTGAATACAAGACACTATCAGGGAAAACTCAGAATACAGAATAAGAGAGATCTGGGATGGACCTTGGAAGTCTTCTAGTTGTGCTCAAGCAAGCGATCCTATACCATTCCAGATAAATGGCTGTCCAAACTCTTCTTCAAAACCTCCAGTGATGCAGCACCCACAACTCCTGGAGGAAAGACGTGATTAATTGTTCTCACAGATAGAAAATTTCTCCTTATTTCCAGTGGTGGGTTTCAAAGTGGTTTATCACTGGTTCAGTGGGCGTGGCTTGGTGGGCGTGCTTTGCACGGGCACTCACTTTGCACGGGCACCAAATGTGCACTTTGCACACATGCGGAGGCTTTCCTACTCACCTCCTGCAATCCTGCACTCTCCCTGTAGCTTCGGCAGCTGATGCGCGGCAATATGCTATGCCGCGCAAAGCAGCTGCACTTCAAAAGCAGGGAATAAAGGTCAGTATGAGACCCCAGGTAGGCGGGTGAGCCCAACAGCAGAGTGTTGGAGAGATTTGGAGAGAACCGGTTCTCTGCCAGCTGATCTTCGGCACTACCGGTACGCTAGAACCGGGCCGAACAATTAAATTACCACCACTGGTTCGCGCTCTCTTTGATAAGTTTCCATCCATTACTTCTTGTCTTGGAGAATAAGTTGACCCCCTCTTCTTTGTGACAGCCCCTCAAATATTGGTTGACTGCTATCATGTCATCCCTAGTTTTTCTCTTTGTTACCTAGTTCCCACAATCATTCATCATACATTTTGTCTGTCTATCATCTAGCTATCATCTGTCTGTCTGTCTGTCTGTTTATCATCTATCTTATCATCTTTCTTATCCTGTTGCTCTTGTCTGCAATCTTTCTAGGGTCTCAACATCTTGTTTGTGTCATTGTGACCAGAACTGGACACGGTATTCCAAGTGTGGTGTTACCAGTAGGAACAGTTTCGGGGGGGGGGGGGCGGTTAGTGTTGGGAGTCAGAAATTACAAATCTTCACATTAAAAAAAAACATGTGGAGAAGCCCAACAAATGCTTCTATATTGATCGATGAGGATTGTCTATTGAAAGGCAACTTCGGAGAACTGTCTCTTTTTGCCTATATGGAAGCATTAAGCATGTTTTCAGTTCTTAAGGAAATGGGACACAAGACGACTGAAGTTATCACTTTTGTAACACCAAAGTAGTAAAGTGATACTTACAACCCTCTTACTGTTTGGTTTAAAAGACCTGCTCTGAAACGGTTCTTAATAGAAGCTGCCATGCATTTTCTTTCAAGGTGCGTAAAACCTTGGTAAGTGTTGCTATCAGCAAAAACGTCTGGCAACTTTCCTATCTTGTTCTCTCCTTATAAAATGCAGAGTAACAATAATGAAGGGCCAGGTGCACACATGTGTTAGTTATTTTATACAAGACCAGCAAAGCTGTCAGTGTGGTCAGCAACCTGAGAAAAATGTAAACTACAAAAAAAAAAAAAAAAATTACAGCCCCACACAGGAAAATCCCCTGAAGTAATTACTGAAGTTTATTTAGCAGCCTATGCAGGTTCTCTGCTCTTAAGATATTAGGGTTGTAATTTGCACTGTGTGGTTCCTCGGGCAACAATGTTTTAAATAATCTACATTCTACCTCATCAAAGATCGAAGCCATCAAAGTAATTTCCATTTACAACCCTCATCAAATGCATAACGGGGGGGGGGGGGGGGGAGCATGCAACAGCAAGAGTGTGTATGTGTGTATATGAAAAAAAACTTAGGGGATGTCACAGAGAACTTTATTGGTGCTGGTTGGGGTGACATTTGCCCTCTTCAATAGACATAACTTGAAGTTGAAGGTCTGTGGTGTGAGTCATTTGTTTCTTCTTAAACAGATTCCAGACCAACTTGCAGACTATAAGGAGAGGCAGCATTGGCACACATTATAGGATAGCCAGATTAGTGTAGCGTGTAGAAACCAGGAGATTGTGAGTTCTAGTCCCACCTTTGACATGAAAGCCAGTTGGGTGACTTTGGGCCAGGCCCTTTCTTCCAGCCCAACTAATGTCATGGTGAGGAAAAAGACGAGGAGGAAACAGCTTGCCACCTTGAGTTACTTATAAAGTAATAAATTAATCTATATATAAAAGCAAAATACCACTCACGCATCATCACAAAATCTCCACAACCATAAAGCATACAAACTTGAAATTTGGCACGGATGTTCCTCTTGGCTTCTAGGTGCACACTAAGAAAGGATTTTTCAAAATGACCATCAGAGCATTAGTATTTTGTATATTATTATTAACACGCTCTGATGCTAAGGAGTTCTACTCCCCCTCCCCACCTGAAAAGAAATCTGTTCCAAATGCAAAACACAAGCAGAGGAGAGGAGTTTCAGTTTAATTTTTAGTTTCATATCACCAGGCAGCTTTAGTACAGAACAGTTGAGCTAAGCCATGCCTGGGCTCCTTGCCGTCTCCTTTTTTGCTCACACAGCAAATGCTGTTTCAGTCCTCAACTCTCTTGACAGAGCTCTAGCCAGATGAATACCGATGGATGCTGGTAGGCAGAGGAAGAATTTGTTTTCCTTATTTCCTCCCCCGAAACTAAGCCCAATCCCATAGTTTTGTAGCAAAGCACAGGTATCAAGCTAGTAAATAAATAATAAATCAATACATCCTTCACACTTTATTTTTTTCTTTCTTGATTAACTGATAAAAATATTTGGAAATGCA